TTACAAGTCGCAAAACAACGACTCCGGTTTCAAGTTTGCGGTTAAGTTACACTTATTAAGTAAGAGTTAAGACAGATCGAGTATCGGTATCGTGGACACCTAAAAGTGCACGAAAGTTGCAGCTTTCGTCGGTTTTAAATTTAGAATAGTACATATTCTCTCGCTGTTCTCTACCGCACCTACATACCGATAGTTTAAATCTGCTTCGCACTTTTAATATTGGCACACGTACTGAGTCTGGTTCTCGTGTTACGATTCCGGTTGAATCTGAAACGAGAAATATGCAACTGTTAAGCAACTACTTGCGAATGGAGGGTAAATATTGTACGATGGTGCAGCATATTCTGCACATTACGTCGACAAACGTTAAACGCATTACTCTGCAACGAGCAGTAATGTTATTTGAAGGCTTTTTTGCCAGTCATGCAAAATTTTCCGGTTTGAGCTCAATGTGAGACAACAATTTTTTTTCAGTTTTCGTTCTTTCTATATAAACTTCAGACATGTGTAACTACAGTAGTACGTTATGTGTGCACAATTGGCTCTACATTGTTTGGAGTGATTGATTGTTTTCCTCGCTACTCTATCGCGTATATTTTGTTTTATTTACTGTTGTACGGGAAGATAGAGAAGGAATGCTGACATAAATTCCTTGATGCGTTGGCATCAGTATCTTTCTGTCAAGTCCGGATCTCGTTAATCCATTTGCCTTCTTGTTTGTGTCAGATTTCAAAAAGTAACCTGAGATTGCGTTATTTATTCTCTCACGATTCTTTATCTTAAAAAAATGAAATTAAATTTTTTCTTGAATTATTTATTGTATTTGCACTTCTGTGACATTACTACATCTAGTTAAATTAGTCTCACAATACGTGCAATCTTATTTTGTATTGAAAATCTCTCTCATCCTAATAATATTCGTTACTTCATTAAATTGACAAACGTTACGCGTTGGTGTATTGTGTGATACTCTGTGAGGATACATATGCAGTTTTGTCAAAGCTGAAGTACGCCACGGATTTGAATGCGATATATTCCCTTGTTTATTACTTGACTTGTTTAATCTCAGTTGAATGTGGTTCTCAGTAACTAAGTACATAGTTCGTTCCAGTTCCCTATTTTGCACACTGTGCCTTAGAACAGTATTGTAAGCGATTCAACATTCTCGTGAATTCTGAGATCGCGTTTTGAGATGCTTAACGATACATATCGATCGCGCTGAGTGAAGACTGCGGCGATGCGTGCTGTTACAGAAAGGGGTGGCCCCAGGGCGAGATGAAAACAAAGGCAAGTGTTCCGTAAGGGCTTGGGCTGAAAGCCCTGATACGACGCGAAGCCCTTCGAACACAAAGCCCTTTAGATCCCATTTAGCGGAACGGTGTCGGCGAATCTGATCTGTGAAGTGTCTGTTCGATTCTTAACTTAATTAAACACCTTTCTACATTCCCTAGCACTACAAATTCTCAACAGCCACGTGCTTCGTAATAGTCTCCCACGTATTTCTGTTATAGTTTAAATATTTGAAAACATTTAACTGTTTGCGACGAGTAACGCAAACAGTTAAATGCACAACACGTTTGCAACCATGAAACATTCAGGGCATTCATGAATTGTCTTAGGAAATTCTGCTATTAGATTTTCGTTAACTAAAATATCAACTACAGTAATTCGTTGAAAGATTCGTGTTCTAAAGTAATTTTAATGTTCTGTCTCATCTACTGTCTACTTATCCTGTCTTCTTGAATTCTATGAAGTATACAACTTGTAATATACTTGTATATTTGCATGTTTCCATTGTAATTCTAGTAGCCTTATCCCCCAATATTTTGATGTAAGCCCTTAATATTATTATTTATAGCCAAGCATTGGTTTTAACAGCTTTGGGGGATCTTGGGTATAGGTTAGTTTGGAGACCCCCTATTCTAACTTTCATCAATCTCCCCCCTCTCCAATAGTGATGCTGATATATAATAAAAATACTATGAATTCACATATTTTTTTAAAAATATTTTGAAAGTATTTCTTAGTGTTTTAATTTAACATTATGAAACAAAAAATGTCGTCATATATGTATAAATTATTAAGTAAGTAAGTAAGTAAGAATAATAGATTTACAATTACATAGAATTACATACTACAAATTAAATAGTTCACAATATAAAATTGAAACGCAACAACCTGCCACATTCCATGTTATGAATATTATCCAATGATGTGGCATTATTTTGCGTATAGTTTAAACGTACATAATTTGAAACGTACACTTTTGAAAAATTTAGTATTAATTTTTTTTTTCCAAAACTGCCGGGGGTCCTGAACCCGGGTACAGTGCGTTAACACGGCCCTGTTTATAGCAGGTTGACACCTTTCGCGTGTACGATTGCAAACTCGTAGAAGCAACTGAGCGCATTACGAGACTCGAGTCTGGGCTGTGTGCGGGCGCGAGCGCGCAGGGCTGTGCCCGGGGTTCGCGCGCGCGCCGCCGCCGCCGCCGCCGCCGCGGCCGGGGGCCGGGGATCCCGCGCGGGGGCGGCGGTTTGGCAACGCGGCGCTGACGTCAGCGGCGCGCGCTCTCGCGGGAGGCTGCGCCGCACCGCGGAATTCCGAACTCTGCAGCCGCCGCGCCGCTCGGCGCATCTCGCGCGCCCTTTGTCGGCGACGGCCGCCCCGCCGCCGCCCTTGCCGCCGCCCTTGCCGCGTGCTTCCGCGCTGCGGATAAACACCTCGAGGGGCCCGTGGCACGGCCTCCTAATAGTATCGAAGCACTGAACCTATGTAACTAACATCAAACTGAAAATTAAACTATTGCCTTTCAGTTACAAATTTAATATTCAAGTAATAAATACTCATACAATATAAACATAAAAAAGTAAATATTTGTTTATCTATATAATGTGTATTTATATTATGTATGATTATTATATATTATTTAAATATTATGTATTCACTGTATTTTAAAATAATTGACATACATATTTTTGTGGCATTAAAAAAAACTGTATTTTTTTAATGTTCGATTTAAATTAATAATTTTTGAGAATTTAAACAAGCTTATTAACCATTTTTAAGTACATGTAACATGTAACTAAATTCTGAATACTTTTCTTGAAAACATCATTGGAGGCGAGGGCCACCCCGTGCGCCTCCAGATTGTTACACTTGGTGTACCTCAAGGTTTGACCCTGGGAACTTGGGTTGCCTTCATCCTCCAGGGAACGTCCTCGTTTTCCTACGTTGTGATAGTTGTTTGATTTGTGAATCTTCTTTGAGGTATGTGTGCGTTTTGTTCATCATGTCATGTGTTACATAGTGTTCAATTTTAATCGTTACCATTGTGGATGGGAAAGTTGAAATATTCAATTTCATGTCTATCTTCATTTACATACGTATTTACTGCCGAAGTGGTAAGATGTCGCATTATAAATTTGACATGCCTTTCCTTCATTGTTCAATGAAAGCTTGTGATAATGAAATCAGTATTTATTTTTATAAAAAAGGAAGTGGTATTTCGTTACTTTTAAGTTTTTAATTTTTTATTCATTTATCTTTTATACAAAAGAAATAAATGAAACTACTGAGAGATTACTTCTATATTTTTACTTATTTTTTTATGTAAATTTGTATGTCCCCCTCATGGTGTTTTGTATATCACACAATTATATTTATCAGTCTCCGCCGCATTCATACCTATTACATTGGAAAATACCTTGTCGTGGGACAATGCCCTTGTTTTTAGCGTAGTGACTCTCCTGGTATAGGTAATGCCGTTGCCACGAAGACAAATTTCATCCAGTGTTTTTATTTGCGTGAAATTAACATGAAATTCTTCTTAAAGGAAACTTTGAAGTGATTGTTTTCGTTTCAATTAGTTTCATAATCCTTGCTCTTCAAGGTCTTAGTTAAGAGAAAAGCTTTGCTAGTTGGACCAAGTGACGATGCTACTGCGTATCTGATAACAGGCCTTATCACATTTCCTTTTCGTTCGCGTAATAAGGTACACCGGTTGAACACACAAGTTCGCTTGTTCTCGGCGCACGTTGCTTGTGGCGCCTTGTGTACTCAGGAAGAGAGGGCCTTCCGCGTCTTGTGTGCGCAAGGGGATCCAAATTTTGTTTGTATGGAGTTCCAATTTCGGATTTGGAGGGCGAGTAAGACGTCCACACTGAAATCAATTACTAATACTTTTGGAATCGTGTTTTTTGCGTCTGAGATTTAATTTATCAGTAATTAAAAACTCTTTTTCGACACATCCTTCGCAATACTTTTTAATCAATGTGACTTTAAAAAAATAAGAGCATTTAATGTTACTTGTGACTTGTTTCGAGAATTTAACATTTTTATACATAACCAATGTACACGTGTTCAATTAAAGTAATTAACGTTGTTGTGTCTGTTCGAGTCTGGAAATTTTTTATATGTAGGTTTTATAAGATGTGGCACAGAATATGACATCAATTTGTTACATGCACATATTTTTAATTATGAAAGAACGGCAAAAATTAGCAATTTTGCTCTCGGCATACCGCTGCACATGTTGCCACTTACGGTCGATGTCACCGCAGATGTATGACGGCGTCGTGGTTTGATTATAAAACTGAGAATATCGATTATTCACCGTTCCGAAGTGCTTTCTGCTGCATAAAGTTGGTCGTGGCTTGTAGTAGATGAATATGTTATAGATAATTGATTCCCAAATCTCTGACAAAAGAAGCATTCGTGTGCAGACATTTCATCTGGAAACATAAAAGTTCTGCAACCGATACATGAAAACTCTGATACATGTCGGAATGATATGCACGTAATGTATCCCTGGCATAGTATAGCCAACCTGTTAGAGACACTGCAGTGACATCAGTTAATGCCCTGAACCACCTCAGCCTGTGAACCATCCCGTTAGATGTCGTAGAAATCTTTACATTAGAAAGAATGCAATCATTATGCTCTTTCGGTATAATTTCTCTCTCCCAATGCCTACGTTCTTTCACATTGGGTGTATCAAAATGCCATTCCTTTGGGGTTGCATCATTCGGACGAAGTTCGAAGTAGCTCAGATGTTAAGAAACTGGAGTTGTCGTCGTCGTCGTCGTCGTCGTCGTCGTCGTCGTCGTCGTCATCGTCGTCGTCGAAGAGGTCAAGTTCCTCGTAAGCTGCAACTTTTCCCCCGAATCCCCGTTGACGGGCGCTGGCAACGCTGTCGCCGCCGGGAGAATTGCGCCGCGCGCCTCGTGTTGTGTCGCCATGTGGCTCCGTTCCCTCATCACACTCACACACACACACACACACACCGCCACGCCCTACACGTCTTGTGCTGGGCATTCCCCCTAACTCGGTTCTTGCGTCTGCGGACAACGCCTCCCCATGGCCCTTACAGTCCCCTCCAATGCCCCTCTCCCACCGTCTTGCCTTGCGTCCCTGCGTGAGGCTCGCCTTCCCTGCCTCCCCCGCTGCGCCCTAGTTCGACCCCCGCGAGGTGACGTCACCTCCGCGCCTCCTAACCAGCGCCGGCTGCTGTTGCGACGGCCCCTCTGCCGGCAACACACTTTCCCCCTCCCCTCCCCTCCCCCCAGCGCAGGACCAGGTGCGTTGCCCTCGGCAATTGCTCAGCCACGCGCCGGCCATGTCCCTCTTAATTAACTAATGACGTGACTTATTACTCTCGCGTTCAGTTGGAAGCGAATTGCGTTGGAGTCTCAGGGCGTTGTCTCGAAGCGTTTTGTGTTAGAGTCGTCTTGTGCGACGTTCTGTCTATTCTGTACAATTAGTAAAGGTGATCTAAAAATATTAACGTCGCATTTAAAGTTATTTTTCACATGAAAGTTCACACGAGTATCTTCCTTTGGGTCTGCAACTTTTGGTACATAAGGTTTCCTCGTCCATTTGGACAGACTTGAGACAGAGTCTGTCAGAAAACAATTACATTAATTACAAGGATTAAATTATTGTGGAAAGATATCAGTCTTTTCGCTATGATTGAAAAATGATGCTCATATTACAAGATCGGAGAACGATTAGAGATAATAAACAACAAATTTATAGTGTGACTAAAATGTCTGTTACTGATAACTATAGTTACATAACACACACGTTTATATTATCTCTACTTAGCGATGCGATCGTGGAAAATTATACGATAAATATATCGGTGCGAAAATGTTGGAATTTAGAACTTTGCTCTTAAGTTATCACAAGAAATGCACTCTGAAAATAATTAATTATTTGTAATTCTCACAAGTATTTGCTTTTAATATGTCTCTTCTATGATCAATTATTTCTCTTGATTTACTGAATCGAAGAATTGTATTCTCCAATGAACTGGACGCAGTTTTAAGTCAGCTAATAAATTATTACTTATTGGAACACGATCGGGTTTCACTCATTATTCATGTTGATCATTATCTCGTTTGCCGATGGTCTTAGCTTTGGGTTTGAATCTACAAGGTTAGTGTGTGTCTAAACGTGTTGGTAGATGGACGCATAGAAAATGGAGAAGAAAAAAAACTAATTACGGAGACCTTTTCTGTGTACTTCCGAGATCTGGTACCGAGGAGATAACCTCGTACGATAGCGAAGCCTTTGAAGTTCGGAGCCGTGCGTTATTTATGAGGATTTGCTCTGGGCCCAAATCAGCCCGCGCGGAGCGCAGCTGTTGCTCGGCCTGTTTCCGATAGCACTATCTCTGCGTTGGGTCCAGAATAACCTGTATGTATTTGAACCAGCAGGAGTGATTAAAACGCTTCATTATTATCATTATTATTTATAACAATAGATAAATCAAATGTATAATATTTATGTCTTGTATTATATATTTTAAGATAATTTTGTATAAAGAATTAAAAAGTCAATGTTTTATTTCCACTCAAGTTGGTAATGATTATAAATATCATCATAGAGAAGGGCGTAACAACCTTTAATGATCTGTAGGGCATCTTTAAACAAATAGGCAAATAAATAGGCTTACGCAATCTGTGGGTCTCTTTCTATGGACCCTCCTTTTCCATGTATGATCAATCTTCTTTTTTTTTTTGTCAATAACCTTGAAATGTTGCGTACAAATGATTATAAATTTACATGAAAAACAATTTTTATCATTGGCTAAGGTTGTAGTGGATTATCACAGAGGATCAACGGTAGAAACATAGTTCCCAAGTTGAATGAATATGATTAGTTTTTTAGAACATGTAGTTGCAATATTTAATCGCAATAGTTTTCCCACACATCTCTTGGTTTCCCTTAGGAGTAATTGAGACTACGCGCATTCATCATACGTGCATTAGTTTTTCAGTGAGACTATTATCTTAATCAGTGAATTGCTGCAGATTTGTCCATGGATACATGTTGCCGTTGGTAGTTACGCTGAAATCGTAGGCATAAGAAACATTCAGAACGAAATCGCCGTGATCTTCATAACTTGGTAAGGGCATCGCGAGTCGCAAAAAAGCGCAGATCCTGTCACGCTGTAGTTGCAAAGAATACGATGCGTCTTCTGGAGAATATGAAGTCTCTAGGATTACTTTCAGTCGTCTTTCTCGTAAAAGGCGACTGAAATTTCTCCCTTTATGTGGAGTCCGATTATAACAAATTTCAGTTCAATATCTTTCGCGCTTGTGTGATGGCAAGGATGAAGCTCGAGACCCGAATGTAGCGATGCCTTCAACCTTGGTTCTCCTCGAGACGACCTAAGCTACTAAAGGCATGATTCGGCTCGAACCGCACCGTCCCTCGCAACGCGCAGGCGGCAAGGTCGTTATTTACGCCCTTGGCGGCGCGGGGGCGTCTGAGAGGGAAACGCGCCAGGAATAGGCGCATATCCGCGCGACTGCTGGCGCGTCACGTTGCTGCCTATGCGTAACCGGCTCCTCTCCCTGCCGCCCCGCCGCCCGCCCGCCGCCCTGCCCCGCTCGGCCCCGCCCCGCCCGCCCCGCTTCGCCGCCTGCCCCGCCCGTCCAGGGGCCTGCCCCGCCTCCGTCTGCCCGGCCCCGCCCTCCCGCCCCGCCCTGCTCGCAGCCCGCCCCGCCCGCCCCGCCCCGCCCTGGTCCGCTCCGCTCGCAGCCACTCCAGCACAGTCTCTCAGCCCTCTTCCATCGCCCCCGTATCCCCACTTCTATGCCCTGGCAATTCACCGGGGGCTCATCCTCCCTCGCTCAACCCCCCCCTGCTCCGGCACCAACCTTTCTCAACTGTTCCCATCCCGTCCTACCATATCCAAGCGCCCCACGTCACTCTACAAGCCACCAGCGCCAGGCTTCTATAGATCGCGTTCGACCCCCTCTCCTACCCAAACCCCCTTTCACGGTCGACCGGGATAGGATTACGCCTTCCGCTTGTGCCCTTTCGACGACGGTCGTTACGTCCGCCCCCGTTCCGCTTTGCCCTCCTCACCACTGCCAGCTCTCCCTTGTTCTGTGCAGCCATTCACAAGCCACCTATCTCCGCTAACAACCGCCCTACACCTGCCACTCTCAGCCTCCGTGGCGCCGCCCTCCGCATGAGCGCGCACGCGCGGAACGCTCTCGTGCTGAACACGTGCGCTCTGCGCCTCCGGGCGGAATGCAGCGCCAGGGGTACGGGCCCGCCCTGCGCCGCGCCCGCCTCCGTCCCTGGCCCCTCCGCCTCACTGCAGCCTCACCTCTGCTCCTGTCACGTCTCCGTCCTGCCCCTGCCCCTGCTCCCGCCCGCCACCGCTACGTCCCGCCATCGCTCTCGCCACCGCCACCGCTCCGCTCCCGCCCCCGCTCCCGCCCGCCGGCCTCCCGCCCCGCCCCGCTTCTCAGCCCCCGGCTCCAGCCCCGCTCAGCCCGCTCCGCCCCCGCCCCAGAACTCCGCTCCAGCCGCTCCAGCCCCCCCCAGGCCCCGCTCCGCCCCGCTCCGCCCCCGCTCCAGCCCCCGCTGCCAGCACCCGCTCCTGTCGCCCGGCTCCAGCCCCGCTCCTGTCCCGCCCCAGCCGCCCGCTCCAGCCCGCCGCTTCAGCCGCCGCCTCCAGGCCTCCGCCTCCAGTCCCCGCCTTGTGTACTTCGTTGTTTTGGGAAACGTTCTTTCAAAGACAAACTACATTTACAGGCAATAAAGAACTGCAGTTTCCGAATTTGTAACCCACCTAGAGAATCAAGATAGTGCATTTTGATCTGGCACAACTGTGATAACGTGCTTTGTAAGATGCAACTGCTTTGACTGCTTTGAGATGAGACTACTTTGCGGAGCGGTAACTGCCTTACGAGTTGCGTTGGTACGATCGACGAAGTTCGAATAATAGTCTCCCACAATTGTAGATTAAGTACTTTTAATATGGTTATAGGAATGTTTTAGATTACTGTAAGACGCCTTGTGTCAATCCAGAATCAACATTTTCATTGAATAAGTTTTAGTTCTTTTTTCAATGTTTGTTAACTTGTTATTGATTGGCCTACTTAGTGTATGGTCCAGTAAACAAAATAAAGAGCTAATTTTCTTAAATTTACGAAATTTACTTGTTTCAAAGGTCCAAGGAAGAATGTGTTTACTCAGTGAAAAATGTTTAGTGAAGAATTTAAACATTTCTCTTAGTTTCGCCCACGAAGTCGCTGCGACTACACCTTCGGAGTGAGTGGTGAACGTTGGAATTTTTGATTTCATGCAAAGTATAATTCTTGCTAGTTTAAGTGACAGGAAAGGAATAGAATGTCTTATGACCTTGTGGAACGCACATTTGCATGGTATGCGTTCTGATTTGTTTTCGTTTTCCGTAATTATATAATTCAACTATCAACTCATGTTTTATATGTACTCATTAGGCATTGCCTGTTTTGCATTGCTGCCATCATACTACACCGAAGGTTTAGAAAATCACAATGCCAATCTTCCTTCTTATTTCAGAAATTAAAAAAAAGTATCATTATATCTTGAAATAAAGAATCGGACCACTAAGCTTTCGGGCGCTCCCCCCGCCATCGCAGAAGTTGGTTGTCCTGCCCGTGGCTTGCGGGCAGCCCGGCGTCTCACCGTGCGCTGCCCGCCAGCATTCGCGTCAGCTGCGCGCCGGGCGTTCGCCGTCGCGAGAGGCGTCGTCGCTTGTTTGTCGCGGAGCCCGCGGCAGGAAACGACGTCGATGGCTGGCACGTGTCTCTTTTTGAATTATTTTAAGCGTGCGGCCTGCGAAACTAGCTTCGAAAGATAAACACCAACACCAACAAAAGTTCTGGAATGTTATTGTTAATTGTAAGACGGCGAGGACTGAGTAATTACTATGAAACGTGAACAGGCAATTGGGTTATTTTCGTATTGCAGTTAAAAGCTGAAGTTTTCGAAGATGAAGTTTTCATAATCGTACCGGCTGGATTAGCTGTAAATCAGCACTGCCGCATGTCTCTGCAGGTACTCTGAACTGTGGTACTAGGGTTCGAGACAGGACGGGGGCGGATTGTAGACTCTAGCGCCATAGCTACATCGAATAAAGCAGTTGTGTGAAGGAGGAATTCAGCGGACGGCTTCTCTGGTGATTAGTTTTCGATGGTTTCTGCGACCAATATCAGGCGAATGCCGGGGTAGTACTCTAACAAACGGGCCGAGCAGCTTTTGGGCGCAATTTTTCCTTCCCATTCTTTACCTTTCCTCTCCTCGTACACATATGCACACTTACATGCACTACACTACCAAACATATCGAGAGACCAGAGCTGCCAGAGCTGGAACAATGCTCCGGTAGGGGAGACACCTGGGGAAGGAAATCCCTGCACACCGAGTGTAAATTGGCGCTAGATCTCCCCATCCAGCTGAAAATAACTCTCGTCATCTCTCGGGATGAAACATTCAAAATTATAATGACCTTATAATTTTATTATGAAATTATAATGACGATTAATGACCTTGGTTGATGTTCCCGAAATCATCAATGAATGAACAGGTCATTAGAGAACATAATGTGTAATGTTATTAACGGATATATTTTGTAAAAATAACCCGTGTCGACAGTCATTGCGGAGTTCATTTCAATACGGTTTATATCGGAAATGATCAAAGAGCATTCCACCAGGGTCATAGCAAAATTGGCAATGTGCTTTATTTGGCCGTGACGATATTTGATTTAGTAACAGTTCACGGCCTACACTCATTCGTTTTGCATTCGAAATTCCAGTTCAATATTTCCCATCGGTTGAAGAATGAAATCGTTTTATTCCTCTTACTTTGAAAATAATTTATTCTCGTAAAATTGACTGAGAGCGAAATTAATAACGTTAGTTTTTCCTTCTTTTCGCATTCGAGAAAGATCACAACGCCAGATATAAAATGTTTTAACTTACTTAATTGACTTTATAATTTAGTTTGTATTTTAAATTATTTTACCTCGTTATGTGAACGGCATCTATAGATAAAATGCTTTATTTTATTAAGTGGTGACTTGCTTCATTGATCAGTTAAATCATTGATACATCTCACGAATTGGTGCATGGAGTGCACTTGGCCTTCTCTATTTTCAGATGGACAGCTAAATCAGAGTCGAAGTGGACTTGAATGAAATGAACTTGACATTGTCACTTTGGTAAATGGCTTGGCGGTTATTACGAAACAAAAGACGTTATTCAATCAACCGGGATCTCAAACTTAGAAATAATGTTGGTCTTGGATATCATTCATGGATGTTCTCATTTTACTTTTCATATTACGATCGTAGTAGGTAGCTTAGTTTTAGTGGTTGTTTGTGAATTTGAAACGAATGCGTTTTAATCTATTGCCAAAATCCCAATACACGAGTACTTTGACGAAAATATAACTTGCCGCATAACTAGAAAGAATCAATGTTTCATTAACTCGCTATTTCAGTAATTTGGAGGTTTACAAACGTTATTGAGATAACAATGAAGTTATTTTCTGGCATTCTTGCGCGAAATGGGTCATGTATACTAATTTTCACGAGAATATTCTAAAACGTTTCTTGTAGTACAATATTGTGTAAGGGAGCACCGAATAAGTGACCCGAGTACACAAACAAGGAAATAGGTCAGATATTAAACCACATTACACAAGTTAGTAGTCAGTGGCACACTTCCCAGCAGTTACTAGTGTGTTATCAATCGGGTCATTCACTTTCCAGGCTATTGTTTGGAGAAATCGAGGGTATCATAAGAAAATTTGAGATAATTTTCAAAAGAGATCCCTAATTACACTAGAATTTTTGTGCCCCCTGTGCCATACACATCGTTGCCTTTCTCCTATTAAGGCAGACTCAAAATAATACCTTACTACTGGAGACCCTAAAATAATATTGAGTTCTGTGAAATTTCGAAAAACTGTAATCAGATGTGAGTTAATTGAATTACGGTTAAGTCTCGTTACAGAAAATTTTAATAATTTCATGGATTGATTACCTTTAAAAAGTTGTAAAAATCAAGTTTCCGTTAATATTCCGCTTGATGCCTTGGGACAGATGACACTTAATTTTCCTTTTCACGTGCACTGATTCTGTATTCTGCTTTTCGGTCAATTATAGATACCTATGTGCAGAGTAAGGATGCTGGAAAACAGTGAATTCACAGTGACACCTTGGTGGTGTCAGGCATCGTATAAAATAGTTCATGAAAATAATAGCTCATTAAACCCAAACTATGAGAGGTTGCAGAATTATTCTACAATAATGTATTAAATTATTATTTTGGGAACAGAACAGGAAGTTGAAAAGAACAGTAAAATTCAAGCCGAATTGGTCAAATTTTCCGCTTCCGGGGAGCCTAAGTGCTGTGACAAGGCATATGAGGTTATCGTTTCGCGGCTGCTGAGAACGCTTGGTCGCCGAGAATCGCGAATGGGTCGGAGGCCTTTGCATTCGGGGCGGGGGGGGGGGG